TGGTGTTGGTGAAAGAACAAAAAAAAAATAGAATAGAGAATTCTAATGTGGATTCACACATATTTGATCACTTGTGCCTTTTGTTATATATATTTAAGGTGTGCAACATAATGTTTTGACATACATATACATAGTGAACCGATTATTACAGTCAAGCAAATTAGCATATCCATCTCCTAACATAATTTCTTTTGTGGTAACAATGCCTGAAACTACTGTCCTGGCAAATTTCCAGTATATAATACAATAATATTAATTGTCCTCAAGCCTTTACATGCAATCTCTAAACTTAGTCATCCTACATAACTGCAGCCTAACCTTTGACCAACATCTCCCCATTTCCTCTTCTTTATCTTGATATCACCATTCCACTATGTCATATTAAACATTTTTAGATTCCACTTATTAGTGAAATCGTGAAGTATTTATCTATCAACAGACAATTAGGTTGTTTCTATATCTTATCTTTTATGAATAATGTAGCTATGAACATGGGAGTGCAGATATTTCTGTATGATAATGATTTCATTTACTTTGGGCGTTTATTCAGAAGAGGGATTAAAGGATCATGTGGCACTTCAGTTCTTTCCTTCCTTCCATGAGGAAGAGAGAATGACAAAGATGGGTAGGGAGAGAGAGACAAGCTCCGCCACAGTTTTCACTCTTTGATCATCTCCCAGGATTAGCCAGTGGGCATCATGGGCACAAGGGCTTGCCCAATGTATATAGGGACATCTAGGTAGATGAACCTGGGACCTTCTCATATGGCCACAACATTGTGGAGATTTACATTACAACTGTGTCACCAGGCCTGGATCTATTTTTAATTTTTAAAAGTGAATCACTTTATTTCTTCTAGGAGCAATAACCTCAACAGGGTCCTGATCCCGCAATTCGCCTCCAGTTTCAGTCAGCCCCAAATCATGAGTATGCTCATGCCTAGCAGAGACAGAGAGGTCTCCACACTTGAATTACAAACCTTCCAATGTGGAATTACCTGGCAGAACATCATGTTTTATGGTTTGTCCACTGTCCAACTCCATTATTTTTTTATTTTTTGAGAATCCTCTATATCATTTTTCATAATGGTTGTACTGATTTATATTCTCACCAATGGTGTACACTTTTTTCTACACTTTTACCAAGACTTTTTAACTCTTGGTCAATTGATTTTTAAGAAAGGTATGAGGCACTTCGATGGAGAAAGAATAGTATTTTCAACATATATTCCTATAACAATTCGATGTTCACAAAAATATTAATCACTCTCTTGCTACACACAATATATCAAAATTAAATCATCTTGAATCAGACCTGAAACTGTAAAATTCCTAGAAGAAACAGACGAAAACATATTTTTTAATTTGAGATAAGCAAATATTTCTTAAACCCAACACCAAAATTCATTGGGAAAAAATAAATAAATAAATAATAAAACAGTTGAGGGCCAGCTTGCTGGTGCAGTGGTAATGCATTGCTGAACTGATTCTGGAGCCATACGGAAGACTGTGGGTTCAGTTCCCTGATGGACTGGTATATGCCACACCCATGCTCACACCTATGACTGGCTGTAAAGGCTGGAAGAGGGAGGGAAAGTTGAAGCATGAAATCCTGTTGAGGATGCTTGCCTTTTTCTTTCTCTCATGAAAGAAATAAATAAAAATTAAAACAAAAATAAACTGGGCCCAGCCAAGGCGGTACATGCTGCTCCACAGTTTGGGAACATATGGGAGGCCTGGGTTTGATTTCTGGTCCATCTAAAGGGACAGGAACAGTGGCATATGCTTGTAATCCCAGTGACTCAGGAGGCTGAGACACGAGAATCATGAGTTTGAGGCTAGTCTGGGCAATATACCGAGATTCTGTCTAAAAAAAAGAGCTGAGAGTGATGGTGTGTGCCTATAGGCACAGCTGAAAGACTGAAGCAGGAGGATCAGGACACAGTGAGAACTTATCTTAAAAAATATAGTAATAAGTGGAAAATACATATACATATAGACACACACACACATACATATACACATACAAACACACACATACATATGCATAACATATTTATTCATTAATTTATTTTTATTCAACACTGACATTTTATTTTCTGAAGCTTATCATTTTTATAAAACAAAAAAAGCAAATATCAAAAACAGCAGAGTTTACAGAATTCCTGCACCAGTTTTAAGTCAGTAATTATGAAACTGTTGTCCAATGTAAATACTAAACACAGGCTGAACTCCCTCTTGGTCACATGGTCAGGTGGTTTGTTTCTGCAGCTACTATACAATCATAACTTTTTATAAAAATGGGTCGTTTCCTGAGAACCGATTTGCTCTGTTCAACAAAGCAATTTTTTGCTGTGTGGCATTTTTTTCCTTTTTTTAAGAAAACACTGAAATAAAACACAGAATGTGTTATTTGATTGGTTCTGAATCAAATCTTCTGAGATCCCAATTACCCTGAAGAACACTGAAAACATTTATAGGGCATATTAAATATTAGTTGTACACCTCATAATGTCTAACTTTCAAAAGAAAGTACTATTTCATTCAGAGACTGCCCAGAGCTTGAGTGACATGAGTTTCTACATCCTTTCTGAGTTGGAAATGCTCCCCAAACAGAGTCAGGTTAGTACAACAAAAGTTTTATGCTCATACCAAACAGGCTCTGATATTTTAGACACACGTGTAATGGATCGAGACTCCTTGCTCTGGACCTTGGGTAAGCACAAAGAAATAGAGAGATTATGATTTCCAGATGCTGAGCACAGCAAAGTAACATGGAGGTAGGCAGAGACAAGGCTGGAACCTGACTGCGTGTTTATCTGTCACTCGGTCCCAAAGCATGCTCTGCTTAAATAAGGGAAGTACAGTCCAGTTTTACAACATTAATAGCTGCTGGTCTCTCATAATATTAAGATATCACTTCCTGACTAGTGACAAGTTAGGAAACTGGCCACGAATTCTGATCAAATCTCTCAGTATTAGTTAAAAATAATATCAAACAAAACAAAAACCCAGCCCATAGGGATTAACAATTGCACAATTAACCTTGAATGTAAATTATACTATATACAGACTGGTACATCATGAAAATGGGTTCAAGAGAATGAAACTTTCTTGTTGAAACACAATTTCCTCTTGATAATCCCAGTTTTCATCAAAGGAGATTTGATATGTACTTTTCTTTTTTACAGGTATAAAACAGGAGGCAAGAAGGCAAAGCTGGGAGACACAGATGCTATCCACAGGGCAGTGGTGGCATTTGGTTGTTTTGGTCTTTGAACCCGTGACTTCCACTCCTGCAGCACACATCCAGTCCCTGCCAGACTACACAGTTTTCCTTGCAGTCAAAACACGAACAATGGATCCTACTCCTCCAGCAGCAAGTGTCTTTTCATGCCATTGAAATAACACAGCACTGCTATTGTCAGAGGGGCTTTCAATGCCTTTAAAAATATACTTCATTAGGAGATCCAAGCCATTCTTGTCCAGAGATTGAACTGCCTTTTCAATATCATTAGCTTTAAAAGAGATGAGTACCTTCAACACAATGCTGCCTGCTCGATCCTTCACTGCTTGACTCTTGGTGTTGATAGGGGACGTTTCAGAGTGGCCTGCAGGGCAGCTGTCATGTTTCCTTGACTCAGGTAGGAGTCCACCTTGCCCCTTTTGGGTCTGACCTGACTGTCGCCCCCGTCATCCTAGTCCACAAACTTGTTCTTATACTCATCCATGTCCACCTTTTTGAACTGGGCTGACTACACCATGTTCTTCAACATCCCCGATCTGGACTAGTGGCAAAGGCCTCCTCGTAATGCTGCCTCTATCTCAGCAAGTCTGTTTTATAGTTTTTGCGATAGGGTACATGTGCTTACTAGAAAAAGAGTGAGGGAACCAGCAGTTAGCGTAATGGCTATGTCGCTGGACTCCCACGTAGTCGACCGCGGTTCGTGTCCCAGACCCGGTGGCTTAAAACTCACGCCGGGCGCGTGTGCGTGCGTGCCCAAGATCCCGAGAGGAGAATGGAGGAGAAGGGATTGCGGCGTGACCATCCCCCCTGGGGGGTGATTTCTCGCTTTCTGTCTCTATGTCTCTCTCTGTATGTCTGGCGAGCGCACGCGCCCTACAGTGAAAAATCTCTCCAAAAAAAAAAGAGTGAGAAAGTGACAACTAATCCCCAGAGGGCATGGCTATGCTGCAATCTCTTCTCCTCCATTCTCCTCTCCAGATTTGGAGTACACATGCACATGCACCTGGAATGTTTTTCAAATCACCTTGTCTGGAACTTAAAGCACACAATCAGCTATGTGGGATCCAGCCACCTTAATTTTCATGCCACCTGCTGGATCCTGTAACCTGTTCTTCTAAGGACATTTTTAACAGACCAAAAGGAAAAGCCACATATCGGGGTAAATATTTTCAAACCAGATATCTGGCATAGGAATTGTACCTAAGCCATGTAAAGAAACCTCAAAACTCAATAATAAAATAATAAGAAGAAAACAAACATCCCAATTAAAAATGGGTAAAGTATGTTTAAACTAAAACTACAATGAAGAAGAGGTAGGTCTGACATTAAGCACAAGAAAAGGAAATGATCAACATCATCACATCACCATGAATGAGAACCACTACACACTAATCAGAATCCTCAGACACAAAACCAAAAATGAAACAGAACACACACATGATCTGACAATCTCAAGGGCTAGCAAGGATGCTATTTAAATGGAATTCCCATACATTGCTGTTGGAAATGCAAACTGACCCTTTCTTTAAATGTTAAATTTGTAGTTTATCCTAAAAACAGGGCGGGGGGCTGTCGGGTCTTATCACCATACAAGAACCTGTACATTAGTATTTATGGCTGCTTTATTCATAATTGGAAAAACTGGAAGCAAACCAGAGGGCTTTCAATGGGAGAATAGATAAAAAATGTAGAGTGTAGAATCAAAGATGTTGACACATTCTGATATTTAGTCATTTAAAAAATTATATAAATAAGTCCTTACCTGGCAGAGGAGCTTGTGTGATCACAAAGGTACTCTTCTTACAGATAGGTTTGTCCAACGCACTCTGGATGTGCTGACCCCCAAGACTCCCACACATGAGAAACTGCAGAATTTGTGCTGCTGGGGTAAAACAACAAAAACTGATACACCTAACAACACAAATGAATCGCAAATACACACGCTAAGTAAAGGAGGCTAGACTCAACAGGCCAGAAAATTTACGATTCCATTTGTATAATATTCTGGAACTGACAAACTGTAATATCAGAAAGCAAATCAGCAGTTGCCAGAGATTGGGAGTAAGGGTGAGGGAATAATTTAAAAGGGGCATGAAGTGATGGGGTGATAACTGACCTATAGCATGATCGTGATGGGGGTTTACATGGCTGCATATATCTGTGAAAACTCATAACTTATAGAATTGAGCCAGCCAGTGGTGAGATGATTAAGGAGGCTGGATCCCACATGGCTGACTGTGAGGTTCAAGTCCTGTAGCAGCAGCTTGTGTGCCTAAAATATGCATGCGTGCATGTGTGTCACACATATGCATGTGTGCCCAGAATCCCACAGAGGAGAAGGGATTTCAGCATGGCCACTTCTCTGGGAGAAAGGGTGCATTCTCATTTTCCCCTTCTCTCTCTCTCTCTCTCTCATAAATACATGTGCCCTACAGCAAATTATAATAATTATAAAGACCTCTCAGAACTGTACTCTGAAAATAATGCATTTTTCTATATGCAAAGCATATCTTGATAAACATGATCAAATAAAAGAACATGTCTTTAAGCACAGGCAAAAACTAAATGTTCCTGTATTTTCTTTACAATTTTGATCAAAGATCAGTTTCTGACATGAAAATAAGAACATAATATCTTGTCTCGGGCTGAGGTTCACCTCAATTAGCTGTGCTACAATGTTCTGGATTCCCTTTTCCCAATAAAACTACCCATTTCTCCAATCCTGCTGCCCAGGCTGTTAAATGATATAACTATCTACTTCTCAAATTTCTGGTCTGAATTCCTGAACTTTGTGCAGGTAAACTTATTGCCTTGGTGTGTGTGTGTGTGTGTGTGTGTGTGTGTGTGTTTGCCATAGAGCACAAGCAGGGGCTGGAGAGAGAGAGGAAAAGTGAGAAGGAAAGGGAAAGTGACAAATCGACCTCCAGGGGAGATGGCCACACTGCTATCCCTTCTCCCCCCAGCCCCCTCCCCGAAATTTGGGGCATGCACATGCACACTTTTAGTGTGATTTTCAGGCCACTAGGTCTGGGACTCAAATTAGGGTCGACCATGTGGGAGTCCAGCGCCTTTATCACATCACCTGCTGGTCCTTGCCTTGGTTTTTATACCCTTGCCTATTTTAGCCTTAAATTTCCAAGTTACTTGAGTCCTATAATAGGTAGTCCATGAATGCTTAATGTATAAAAATCTTTCTTCATTATTTGATTTCTATTTCAATCAATAGATGCATTCACTATATGAAACAGACACTGCTCCAGGAATTAGGCATATAATGTTGAGTAAGGGGCATATATCTCTTGCCTCCATGGAACTTAATTATAATCTGAACGCCTCTGGGTGGGTTGTGAGAACATAGAAGAGACTCATAAAAGGTTTAGTGGAGTCAGCCAACCTTTTCAAGGTGATTTTCAAGTTGGATTTGGAGGGTAAAAAGGAATCATCTACAGAAGTGAAGACAGGGGGTAAATATTCCAGATAGACAGGACAGTCTGGAAAGTCTCTAAATTAAGAGGGAGTTTACTTATGTGAAAGCGTCCCTTTACTATAAGAACATATACATTATAGTGGTCGGTGCAATAGAACTGGATATATGAGAGGTCCTCCAAAGTTAATGGAAAATATGTCTTGTGAGAAAACTATGCAAGGATTTTAAAACTTTTTTTACACCAAAACAAATGCATATTTTAATTCCATATTTCCATGAACCTTTTGAATGCACTCTTACAGACAGGGATCAAGTCATGGAGATCCTAATATAATACAATAAAGTTTAATTGTCCTTCTTGCTTCTGCACAGAATATAATTATATTCTATTGTATTTTTATTAATGGACACTAGCTCATGCACATAATAACTTGGAGAAATTTACGGGGTTCCCAGTCTGACTAGACCTTAAAAGAAGCTCCCTAAGGCCTGGTCCATTTACGTTCTCTGGTCTGCTTTCGTCTCTTGACTGCACCATATACATATACCACAAGATGAAGCAGGCCTCCTCCTATCATTCCTCATCCACACCAGACAGCATTCACATTACTGAACACCAATTCTGTATTTCTAGATGCCATTACCATTTCTCTCCACACGACAACTTCTGCTACTTCATTTTTGCTTCTTATTTTCCCATGAAAACTCCTGACTTACCGTTATAACTATTTATTTCATGACAGACAGACTCAGAATAAAATAAAGTGCAAAAAAGTTAGATTACTTTGTAGCTCAAAAGAAAAACACATTTTAATATAGTATCTTTTTTATTTTAAAGCATTTCAAGAGCCATATTTTTTCCGATAAAGCTATTCTCTGAAAGTCATAGTCATCAGAGACCTTGACATTTCAGTCGAAGGGATAAACAAAAGCTTTGGTGATTTTCTTTCTTTGTGAAAAAAAAAAATCATATGATAGACAATAGACAGAGAAGGTCAGTATTAATTATGATGCCTGTATTATCTGTCATGTTTTATGTAGGTTTTGCTTCAAAATCCATATTGAGTCAGAGATAAATTAAATTGGGTGCCTGACTGGGATTTTCAAAATAATGGACTCTACTGTGTTACTTATATTTCAATATAACTATTGGCAGATACTAATCATAGTGCTTTTAACTACTAATAACATTAGAAAACTTACTAAAAGTCTTTATTATTATTATACATAGGGATATGATGAGTTCGCACTATTAGTATAATTAGTATAGTCTACTCATTCACTATTATCATAACTAAACAGACATTCATGTAGTCCACACTATTTGTCATGCAATAGCTACTGATGATTTAGTAAGCGAAATAAGCAAAACAACATGGGTGAATTTGTGATTTCAATCAAAGGCAAGGTTAAGAGGCAGGTATGTTAGCAAAACAACAAATATGAAAAATTTAGTGAAAAATAAATCATGCCAAAAGTCAAGAAGCAAGAGGTACTGTTTGCTAGGATACATCCCAGTAGTCAGCCTAGAGTGGAAACCAAAACAATTCATGCACAGTGATCATTACCTCCTCTGAGTCATCTAAACCACAACTGGCCTCTTCTCCTTGAACCAATGGGAGCCTTTCAATGCTGCTAAACACTTGGCAAGTTTTTGACAGCTGACAGATACTATTGTTACAAAATAGCATTTCTATTTTTTTGGAAGGATGCAGAAAAATTATTTTCTGAATCAAAAAAAGATTTTATGAATCTGATCCAGAGGCTTAAAATGATGCTGAAGAGGACAGCCAAAATGGGATTTTGAGATGACCCCATATTATCAACATACTTCTCAATCTGTTTCTCTTGTGCCACCTGCAGGGGTGTTGACAGAACGAATTCCAAGAGGGTACTGATGCCAAAAATTGGCATTTCTGCCTTTTTATAAATATGTTACATGAAAAGGGAATATTCTACCTGTTCAATGCTAACAATCAATATTTTTCTCCTTCGTGAAGCTTGCATGGTTTAAATAAATTTTGATCCTATTTTCGTTTTTTTGGAACACCGACATAATGGATATTTTGTATGATTTTGTAAATTATTTAGACCAGCATCATTTCATATAATTTTGGTTAAATCATTAGTGTCACAGATTGAAGCAGTTGAATGTATAGTTGCCTTATAGACCCAGCATATTAAACAGTATCAAAAAGAGTTATAACTACAAAGGGAAAAAGACGCTTAATTGTAGTGCAGCTGTATGTTGCATTTGTCATCTGTTACATAAATGGGAGGGAGGTGAGAACCCCAAAATATCCAGGACCTATTATTTATTCTTAATCATCATAATCACCATTAATAAATATTCATCAACTCCTCACACATAGTCCCCATCCTTTTGGACATATGATCTGACATTACTAAACATGTCATGTTTGTTCTTGAGTGTTGGTTAAAATGGTATAGTTTACACAGAAAATTTCATGGGGACATAAATCAGAGGATAAATTCATATATTTTTTAAGTGTAAATAAATATTTATGTTTAGATTATATGTATATATACACACATATATATGACTTATTATGTAATGACCCTTAAAAACGCAAATGCAAATGAGATTTTTTCCCTGAAAACAAAATGATAAAATAGTGCAGATTTTTAGGATTTCATGTGCATGGAATTCTGAAAAGAGCATAAGGCAATTTGTGACAGTTGAAAATGAATATTTTTGTCACACTATAAAATCCACAAAACCCATGTACTCCCAGAAGATTACTTTCTTATGAACTACAGAGTAAATAGTAAAGTTCAATATTATTCCCAAAGAATATAGGAAGAGACAATTAAGCCAGTAAGCCATGTCTGCCAATAAACACATTTCATCATTGTTAGTTTATTTTCACTGCCTGGCACCAATTAATACTGATTGTCCTTTACATTTTCTTTTAATAAGATTGAAAACATCATAGTGCAACTATTTCAAGGACTAGGTAGATGGAGTCTAAGTGTAGCTCAAAATAATCATAAATACACCTGCAAGCAATTGGATTCACATTTAACTTTTATGTAGATGACAGAGAATGATCTTTTGTTTCCCCTCCCCAAATGCTAAATTATTCCTTAAAGAGCGTGTGCAGGTTCTTCTTACTTTAGTAGGCCCAGTTTAGTCATCTGTAAAATGAGGCTGTTGAATTGGATCAAAACTAAATACTCTCCCAGCTTTATAAAGTGTTATGATTTTACATGGATGGTGAGATTTCTCCCTGGAGTTTCTTTTCTATATACTGTGCCATGTAGCCAGGCTTATAAAAATAAGGTATTCCAGCTGGTGCTAAATATGATCAACCTCCCATAGGAAGCTCAGAGTTTGTCCATATAGAGAACGTGTAATGCAGGTGCTGATGCAAACAACGATGGCAAGGATAAAAAGTAAAACTCAATAATAAAAATATTCTATGCCAGCCAGCTAGTGGGATGTAGCTTAAGGAGCTGAATTCCAC